CTGATGCGTACAAAATATGGAAGATTCATGATAAGGCTCTCATGACTCTTATTGCTTCTACTTTATCCACTTATGCCTTGTCCTGCATCATTGGCAGCCAGAGTTCCAAGGAAATGTGGGATAATCTTCGTGAACGATTTGCTAGTGTCACTCGTACTAGCATTGTGCAGATGAAAATTGACTTGCAGAATATTAAGAAATGACCTGAGTCAATTGACCAATATCTTTAGTGGATCAAAGATTCTAGAGATCAATTGGCTGCTGTTGGAGTGACTATTTCTAATGAAGACATTGTTATTGTGGCTTTACGGGGTTTACCATCTGAATACAACACCATCAAAGCTGTAATTCGTGGCAGGGAAAGTTTGGTGTCCTTGAAAGAACTCAGATCTCAATTGAAGGCTGAATAATTTACACTGGATGAAGTTCACAAGCAACTTCCTTTAATGTCTGCTATGTATGCTCAGGGTGCTCAGGCTACATATGATCAAGGTCAGTCTTCGGGACATGCTGGAATGCACATTGGGACTTCTTTGCCTCATTCTCTAATGTCTCTGTCAGGATTTTCAACTTTGTCAATGCTTGGCTTTACACATTCAGTACTTGTTCAGATGACTATGCCTAATAATCCACCATGTGCTTTCCCTTCTCAATATGCCTCTGGTTCATTCAATAACTTCAAAGGTCATAATAATTTCAAGTCTAAAGGCAAGGGCAAACAGTTTTACTCGAACTCTCAGTCAGCATCACAGCCTCTGTATGGTGCCAATAATTCTCAGAGTTTCTTTCTTGTTCAATCTTCCTCGGGTTCAACCTACAATCCTTCTAAGATTTGTCAAATTTGTGACAAGAAAGGTCATTTGGCTCTCAACCATTTTTAGAATGGGTGTCAAATCTGTCATAGAAAAGGGCAAACTGCAGCTACTTGTTTTGACAGGAATGTTTTTTCTTCACAACAATTTTCAATCCCTTCACCACAGTTTCCAATGGTTGGATCTTCCTTTCAACAGTTTCCTATACATCCATCCATTCAACAGATTCCTGTACATCCATCTTCCTCTGTTGGAGTTCCATCTGGTTATTATTCATCTGGATCACCAGTGCAACAACCTCCTCAATATCACTCATCTCATCCGGTTGCTATGCAAGCCGTGCCAATTTGTGTCCAAGTGCACCTAATCAGGATTTTTGGCTGGTTGACTCTGGTGCAACCAACCATATGACTTCAGATATTGCTAATCTTCAAGCTGCAGTTCCTTATCCATCCACTGAGACTGTCATTGGTGCTGGTGGTGAAAGTTTAAGTATTACTCATATTGGCAACACTGCTTTTCCCACCAAATCGCATACATTTCAGCTTAATTCTGTATTACATGTTCCAAAATTGTCTCAAGATTTGCTTTCTATATACGAATTGTGTAAAGACAACACATGTCGCTGTATTGTTGATGAGTTCTCTATTTGTATACAGGACAAGGTCACCGGGAAAGTGTTATATCATGGACTGAGTAACAATGCCGTCTACCCAATTCTAGTTTTCAAGTCTTCCAAATCACCAGTGCCTACTCTAGTTGCTTTTTTTGAGTCAAAAGGTGTCCTTTGAACTTTGGCATTGTAGGTTAGGGCATCCTTCGAATGCTATTACTACTGCACCATTTAGGAATTCCTCCATTTCTATTCCTTGTAATAAAGATTCAACCACATGTATCTCTTGCTTGCAAGGCAAGTTTTTCCAAATTACCTTTCCCTAGTGTCGCTTCAAAATCTGTTCTTCCTTTTGAAGTAATACATGCTGATGTATGGGGTCCTGCTCCCATTGTATCTTTGGAAGGGTTTAAGTATTATGTGTCCCTTATGGTTGAATGTACGAGATATACATGGGTTTTCCTTATTATCAATAAAGCTGCAGTTCTATCTATTTTTGCTCAGTTTGTTGCATTTGTTAAAACTCAATTTCATACAACTATTAAAACACATCAAAGTGATGGTGGAGGTGAATATGTGGGTTTAGCTTTCAAAGCATTTCTTAGGGATCAGGGTATTGTTCATCAAATGTCTTGTCCTTATACCCCAGAACAAAACGGGTTGGCTGAGAGGAAAAATAGCCATTTGTTGGAAACTGCCATTACTTTACTTCAAAAAGCATCCATGCCTTCCTATTTTTGGTTTCATGCTTGTGCCACTACTGCCTATCTAATCAATACGATGCCTACACCTATTCTTCACATGAAATCTCCTTTTGAATGTTTGTTTAAGTCTCCACCTATCCTTGACCATTTGCGAGTCTTTGGGTGTGCTTGATATCCTTCCATGAAACCTTATAGGAGCCATAAGTTGGATCCAAAAAATACATAATGTATATTTGTTGGGTATGCTTCCCAGTACAAGGGTTATATTTGCTTTTCTCTCAGCACTCATAAACTTCTTGTGTCTCGACATGTTCTGTTTGATGAACATAGTTTTCCGAGTACAAAATTATTACATTCTTCTTCCAGTCATGCATCATCTCCTGCTCCTAGTGTTGTTGTACATCTTAACACCTTTGAACATCCTTTGGTTATACCTATACCTTTACCTCAACTGTCCCCATCAATGGGTTATAGAGATTCAACACCTACTGTTACTCAGTCCAGTTCCGCATCAACAAATAACACGAGTGATCTTCTATCTTCTCAAGAATCTCTTTCTCCCGAATCAGCTACTCAATGATCTCCTTTTGGATCTGTTGTATAGTCTCTCAGTTATACAGAATTACATCCTAACACTTCTACATCTCAAGTTGATACATTGCGGTCAATACCAGTGTCCACACTTAATGGTCATCCTATGCAAACCAGATCGAAATCTGGTATTGTGAAAAAGAAAGTTTTTTCAGCTACAGTTAGTGGTGAGCTCTCTAGCACAGAACCTCAAACTTTTTCCGCAGCTTCCAAGTTTGTGGAATGGCAGGTTGCTATGAAGGAAGAAATGCAAGCTTTGGTTCAACAACAAACCTGGAAACTGGTTCCTCTTCCTCCAAACAAGAACCTTGTAGGCTGCAAGTGGATTTACAAAATCAAAAAGAATGTTGATGGTTCTGTAGCTCGGTATAAAGCTAGGTTAGTTGCTAAGGGGTTTTCACAAGAAGCTGGGCTCGACTATTATGAAACCTTCAGTCCAGTGGTTAAGCCTATAACTGTACGATTGGTTTTGTCCTTGGCTACTACAAATGGCTGGAAACTAAAACAATTGGATGTGAAGAATGCATTTCTTCATGGTTTTCTTGATGAAGAAGTTTATATGGCTCAACCACAAAGTTTTCTGGATCCTGTACATCCTGAGTATGTGTGTAAACTGGAACGGTCTTTATATGGCCTTAAACAAGCACCTAGAGCTTGGAATGAATGGTTTTTCAAGTTCTTGCTTTCTTTGGGATTCAAGTCTTCTTATGCCGATTCATCTCTTTTTGTCCAACATATTGGCAATGATGTGATTATACTTCTGCTTTATGTGGATGACATTATCCTCACAGGTAGCAATGATAGTCTGGTGCAATCTGTGATTACTCAACTTACTCAGGAGTTTGATATGAAGGATTTAGGCCTGTTGCATTTCTTTCTTGGTCTGCAGATTGAGTATCAGTCTCAAAGGCTATTAGTTCATCAAACCAAGTATATCAAGAAGATTCTACAGAAAGCAAATATGGTTTATTGTAAACCTTGTCATACTCCCTGTCATTCAAATCAAAAGCTTTTAAATCATGGCAGCCCTCCTTTCTCAGATCCCAGTTATTATCGAAGTCTTGTTGGTGCTTTGCAATACTTAACGTTCACATGACCTAATATAGCATTCTCTGTTAATCAGGTTTGTCAATTTATGCATTCTCTCCTTGACCAACACTTTGTAGCTGTAAAGAGAATTTTGAGGTATCTTAAAGGATCCATGCACTTAGGATTGTGTTTTCGATCTGGTCCTATGTCTTTAAAAGTCTACACGGATGCGGATTGGGCTGGTGATCCCAATGACAGGAGGTCAACTACGGGATTTGTCATATTTCTGGTTTCCAATCCTATCTCTTGGAGTTCTAAGAAGCAGCATACAGTTAGTAGGTCCTCTACTGAGGCAGAGTATAGGGCCATGGCTACTACCACAGCTGAGGTTGTGTAGATTCAACAATTACTCAGAGATTTACATGTTTCATGTCCTGATACACCTTTGCTGCATTATGACAACATTTCTGTAATGGCACTTACAACTAATCCGGTTCTCCACTCTAAAGCTATGCATATTGAAATTGATTGTCACTTTGTTCCTAAACGGGTGCAACAAGGTTATATTTTATTGCAGTTTGTTTCTTCTACTGATCAATATGCTGATATCTTGACTAAAGGCTTGTGTTCTCCACAGTTCAATAGTTTTTGTTCCAATCTCATGCTTGGCTGCTGCAATCATGGGATTGAGGGGGGGATGTTAGGATGATAGATGTGTTGATATAATGGTTGGATATGTGACATGTGTTATATTGTAATTGGTGTTGTATACAGTTAGTTAGAATTGTTGTTCTCTGGCATAGACAATATATATCACATTGAAGTGTAATTATCAGAGTGAGTTTTATTAATGAGAAGAAAAGAATATTCAATATCTCTCTCCTGTTTGTTAACTTTCTCTCTCTACACTTGCTTACTACAATTCTTCATAGTTGACAGACCGGAGAACTAACCCTTCAGAACCCGACGGCTCCACAACCCCCGGAGATCAAAACTAGTTCTCTTCCTGTACGGAAAGATTGCGGGAGGGGTACGATTATCTTAAGTAGTAATTGTATTTAGTGGCTACTTACTGTTGTGTGAATGCTTTGACTAGATAGGTCAGCATGGTAATCATGTAATGCCTGTTCATTTCTTAGAGTTGCTCCACACAAACTCTTTATCCAGTTTTTATTCTCTTTACCAACAAAAAAAATGGGAAAATTACTATTAGTATATAACAATAACAGAAATTTGAAATAAAGCCATACGAACAAAGACAATCGGACATCTGATATTTCACGCTCTCAATCAAATGAATTACAGGCTCTGAAAAACCATGGGATCTATAACAAGAAGGAATTTTACAAGGAAAAGAAAATGGTACATTCAAGGCTGAACAATTTACAATGGTTCCTGAGCATGAAGATAAGTAAGGTGCAAACAGGAAATATCATTGTATATTTAGTAGAAGAAACGCAGGCATTACCCAAATACCTCAGTTTCCCGGAAAGCAGCATGGATTAAAAGCTGTAAGGGGGCATGTGCATCTCGTCCAAAAATATGCGTTTGACTTTGATGGTTTAAGTAACCACTGAAGCTAAAAACTTTCCAACTGGTGTTCTTATGGTGTGTTGAGATCGAGAGTATATGAATTGGACAAAATGAAAAAATGCTGTGACTTTGATTATTCTGAATCTTTTGACCCTTGATGATATAATAACCTATTGAACGCTGCACTTCAGCTTCTCGGCCTCAAGCTCCTCTTTCAAGGCTTCCATCCGTTCGACTAAGGCCATATTTTCCTGGGAAATATTTTCAGGACTTGTAAGAAAAGGAAGGATTCAAACCTAAGGGAACTTTCAAACACACTACACTAGCACATCATTGTCCATCTGAACTGATAAGGGAAAAGAGAGAGATAAAACTTTGATGTAACGTCAAAATCCGCAGTTTATACACATTATTTGGGTTCAGAGCATATTTGATTTCTAACAAACGGTATTTAATAATACGAGCAAGCCATCCTCAGCTTGGTTTCTAATGAGCTCCTTAATGTGGTTTACTAAAGGGTGCATAAAAGTGGATGGCATTGAAAGAAGATACACGTTTGAGTGGAAAAAGAATGAAGTTATGAGACATTACAAGAACTTTTGTACAAGTCTTTTACTGAAAAGAAAGGGGTCACCTTTTGTAGATTCAACAATTTCTGGTTGACAGTAGTGGCATTTCCATCACCCTCCCCAAATGATCCCTCTATCTGAAAGGAAGACGAACAATTAATTGATCTGCAGAGGGATGATCATGATTCATGACAGGCACAGAAACTTCTAAATTACATCCATAGATTATGTCGTTAGACTGATCATTTTAAAAAAAAGTCATTTAACTCAAGGATGCCCTTCCAAAGATTGAACCCAAACCCACTTTGACAGGAATATAGCGAAATAGAGTGATAGCGCCCATAGTTTAGTTTTTCCAAAGTGGTTTTAATTATCTTTCGATGCAGAGATCATTTTCAAAGACTAATCTTGCTTTGACGATCCTTACTATTCTAAGCATGCAATCACACTCTCCAAAAATAATACGAAAACTAATTTCCCACAACAATGAGCTTATATTAACTCCAATCAGATTAGTGTATAACAATGACAACTTACAATCAATACCAGCATTAAACACACAAATGAAAACTCTAATTGTTGAAAGAGTTATGCAAATAAATTTAAAGAAAGGAAGAATATGACGCGAACCTGTTTGAGTTGATTCATACACTTGGTAGCCTTTTCGGCTTCTTCATCGTATTTCAGCCTCCACTCAGCAGATTCATCCATTGCTTCCCTATTTGCAAGGTCAAACTGCCGCCTACAAGATTTCAATAGAAAAAGCATATAAAATTGAGTGACAAACTCTCTAAAACAAAATTAGAAACAGAAATAACAAGTAAACTCCCACATACAACTAAACCCCAAAATCCCATAGAAATAGAAATAAACCCAGTTCATTTCATGGAAACATTATTAACATTCGTGCCATATGAAGCTCTGAAAATTAAAGTGTACATGTGAGATCATAGAACAATAATTCCGAGTATGAACCATTTGAGCCAAAACACAAAGTTGGAATTTCTCATCACTCACTAATGGAAAGTAAAATCTAAAAACTTGGGCTTAATTTAATTGCGGTTATATCTAATGGGAATTCATTCATTCATTCAATCATTCAATCATTCATGGAATCCGCAAAACTATGAACCCCTGAGAACAAATTTGAGATTTGCAGTAGAAAAATATGAGATGGGAAGCAAACAGCAAACCTGAGGAGCTCGGATTCATCGGAAGAAATGGAGTAGTCGATAGTCCAGAGCCGCAAGTAGACGGCGATTCCTAGAAACATGACCAGCACCAAACCCACCAGTATTTTCTTGCTCCCTCTACTACCACCCCCCATTTTTTTTTTTTTTAAATTTTATTCTATCTCTCGGTTGCTCAAGCTTCTGCGACTTCTCTACAGGCTTCAGCCATCAAAGCCGATCTAGCGGGTCGGTTAAGAACCCGGGCCTCAAATACTTCACAGTGGACCCAACAACATAAATTCGACTTTATGGTACTTTTTCTTTGGGCCTAACTCTTATAGTACTACGGTTTAGTGATCAATTTTACTTGTACGTATAAAAGTAAATTATAGCAATGGTTCTTTAACTTTAACTCAATTGAAGCAATAGTCTTTTAACTAAAAATCAATTATCATTGGTTCCTTAACTCATCAAAATGTGCAACAATGGTCAATCAACTAAAAATCCATTAACATTGGTTCTTCAATTTTAATCCAATTACAGAAATGGTCCCTCAACTTTAACCCCAATTGGAGCAATGATCCCTCAACTTTAACCCAATTGTAGCAATGGTCCTTCCAACATAACTCATTTTGATAAAATTCTGACGAAGTTAACAAAAAGAACCATAACTACACGTTTTAATGAGTTGAGGGACCTCAATTGTAGCAATGGTCCTTCAACATAACTTATTTTGACAAAAGTCTAACGAATTTGACGAAAATGACCATAGCTACACATTTTGATGAGTTAAGGGACCAATGGTAATGGATTTTTAGTTCAGAGATCATTGCTTCAATTTCATTAAAGTTGAGGAACCATTAATACAATTTACTTTAAGTAAAATGTCTTAGGTTTGATTTTCGCCAAAAATGAATTTGAACCATATTATTGCTATGTCATTGTAAGGCTAAACCCACTCCCCATAATTTAGATCATGTTGTTTGTTCATAAAAAAACTATATGAGCGATACTAGGGAAGGGTGAAATCGAACTCACCTTTGGTGCATAATTTAATGGAAAAATTAGTATCCGGTCCCTAGTTCTTACTGTTCATTGACTAAGACCTTATTAGTTCTCAAATTTTGATTCAAGTCCCTAGCATTAATATGATAATGAATTTACATGTTTATTATATAATTTTTTAATATAAAAATTAGTAATTAATTTAGGGTTTAATACTCACACCTCTATTAAACTTCTAATTAATTTTCAATTCAAACATTTCCAAAATAATAAAAAATTAAATTAAATTAAGTTTGTACCTATTAGTTTTTTTTTATATATAAAAAGATTCTCAATTTTTTAATCTTAAATGTACCCATTCTCAAATATATCAAAAAATTTGTTATATGTAAAATGTACCCTTTTTTTAATATAAAAATCCTTTCAAATTTTTTAATCCATGTTTAAACTTATATGGGTACATTCTTTTTTCGTTGATTTGAGAATGTATCCATGTTTTGGTACAATAACTTTTTTTGTTAATTTTGGTTAATGTACCCATACATATATGTACACACACACACACAATATAATAGAGAGTATAATTTATATTTTATTATTTTTAATCCCATAAATTATGGGTTTTATTTAAAATCTCATTAATATAAACAATTACAAATTTCAATTTTTAATTTTTAATTTTAAAAATATAGTAACTTACATTATTACATTAATGTCAAGGACCTCAATCAAAAACTAAAAACTAACAAGGTTTCAATCAAAGAATATTGATAGCTAAGGACTGCATCCAAAGTGTCCCTAATTTAATTGTATAGAATAAAATTGAAATTGTGGTTTATTCAATTTGCGTTGAGATAGAGTGTTGGCATTTTTGGTTGAGGAGGCAGATTCTCTGCCCTCCCACTCTCGTGCCCTCTTGTTTGTATGGTCACGGTTAAGCCACGTCAACATTTTATATTACTATTTCTTTTTGTCTTATTATCTCTATAAAAAAAATATAAAATGTTGACGTAGTTTAACCGTAATCACACAAAACAGAAGAGCACGGGAAGTGGGAGGGTAGAGATCTGCCTCCTTTCGTTGAATATTGAAAATTAAGAAACAGTTTTTAAGTACACAAAAGTTTAAGGTACAAGTTGATTAGAGCGTGCCACACCGAAAGCACTGTTTGTAAATATAAGTGGGGTTCAGTATAAGAAGGGTAAGAGGCCACATTAGCCTCACGTGCGTGATGAATATGATTTCTCCCCTCTAGTAATAAGAAAGTAATTTAAATGCAACGAGTTCATCATCAGATGGCGTCTCTATCCAATTATACAATGTATCTGGGTAAAAATGTACTTATTATCTTGTATATTATTAGACCGGATACCATAGTAACAATAAACCGGTTATAAGTGAGTCTCTCTGCACTGATAGTAATACGTGAGCTACAACAACACGTACGCCGTCATCCCTTTCAACCTGCCATTAATCCGATCATCCCTGGCTCCCTGATCCACCGGCCGTAACGGCACCACAAATCAATTCAGATTCCGTTGACTTCTGAACCTAAAGAAAAGTGGGTAAGAGATCATCAAGGGTTAACGTTCTCCCTCTACAAATTGGCTTTTTTTCCTTTCAAATTTGCTGTTTAGATTAGATTACAACAATATTCGAATATATAAATGTTTCGTAATCCTAGTCGAGTCCCCAGTTTCCTAATCCTAATCGGTTCGGGTTTCCTATTTGTTTGTGTAATCCTATTTCCTTCAAATAATTTTATGTATATATGTATATACATGCAGGTGCGAGAGTTCATACAATTAGCACTGTTACACAGTTGCCTACCAGACTTTTGGATGTAGTTTTGGAGACATTAGTGTCACCTTCAGACTATTTGCACTTCGGCTGCGTTTGTAAGTCGTGGAAACATGCAGCAAAGGCTAATAAAAAGCAACGTGCTCTTGTGTCAATTTTCTGTCCTCCGTTGCTCTTGATAGCTACTGGCAAAAAGGGGACGTGGAGGTTGTGGGACGCAATGAATAACAAGGTGTTTGATTTGCAACTCAAGTTGTCGAACAAGCGGTTTTGTGGTTCTTCAAAGGGATGGTTAATAGCGGTGGACCAAAGTCAAACCATAACCCTAACAAATCCACTACCGAGGCATAAAGGGAGGCGAATGAAAGACAATTCAATCATTCGCCTCCCTCCGCTCACTCCGCAAGGTGAGGATGAATTGTTGATGTACCCCTCAATATGTAACTATGGAGTCTACAAGGCTACAATCTCGGCGGATCCAATATTATTTGCAGAGGATTGCATTGTTCTTGTCATCTACGAGGACCTATTGCAGTTGGCATTCATTAAACTCAAAGACACAAGATGGACTTACGTTGATAGGCGATGGAAAATGTTAGAAGACGTTGTTTGCTTCCAAGATAATTTTTACCTTGATAACCGAAGAACACTCTTGTCGTTTCATCTTACCCGTCGGTCCTACACAAGTAAGCTTAATTGCATGAGCCAAGAAACCAGAGGATCCTTGCTTCAAGACATATCTCGTGAATTCAAATGAGGAAAAATTGTTGATGGTTCAAAGATTTATTTGGGATTTTGAAGATGGAACACGCGAGATGACGGAATTAAAATTTTTTGAATTGGATTACGCTAAGTGTAAGTGGATTGCGATGGACACCTTACTTGATGCGGCACTCTTTTTGGGTGACAAGTCTTCAGTATGTGTGTTGGCTTCAAAGTTTCCAGGATGTCAAGCGAATTGTATATACTACAATCACGATGCTGATCGTATGAGCTTTGATGTCGGGCCTTGTGGACCGCATGATTTTGGTGTGTATACAAGAGACTTCTAAGCCGTACACCAAAGATGTTATGGCCTTTGTAAAGAACAACCGAAAACCTCCAATATGGATTGTGCCAACTTTGCAGTTGTAAAAGGATTGTTTTGCTTACTCTATCACTGGAAGCTTTTTATATATTGTTTCAATTTTATCGGATGTTGTCGAAGGGACCACTGGAAGCTTTTTAGGACTATGTGCTTTTTTTCTTTCTTTCTTATTTTGTTGTTGTAGACATACAACTCCACTAATTGAAATTTGATTTTACTTTTATATTGGTTGGTTGTATATACTATTTTGTGACTTAGCCCAGATCACCCCTTTAGTAAAATCTCTTTTGATTTATCAAAATTTAAAAAAAAAAGAATTTTAAATATTCAGAATTATTACTAAAAGTTTATAATCATTCTAATTTCTCCTATTCCAGTAACATCTCTATCTCCATCTCCATCACCTCTCCATGTCTTCGTTGGAGGTATCGTTTTAGTCCTCTCTCCTTTCATCAAAATGACTTGCGCTAAACTCAACAATAAAAAAAATTACGAAAAAGAAATGCACAACAACAATAATCATGTTGCAAACAGCATACAACACACCTACAGAAAACAGGAATAGAAAAAGATGGAAAGCTAAAAACATACTAGACAACTATAAATTCGTTAGCATAATCTCCATCCTTGAAATTTGTCGCCATGTGTTGAATACATGTAAACCAATGCTAATCGAGCTTTCTATAACTACACTAGTACATATAGAGAAAATCATGTCTGTTTTTATACTTCTATGTTTTCTGTCATTGGTTGAGAGGAGCGGCGGTCACTCAAATAAGCATGAGAAGAATTATAGAAGGAGATGACAGGGTAAAGAAGTCTATTGATCAATTGAGAAAAACAGAGGTGGTGGACCGGTGGTGACTGAACACTCCCCCTTGCGAGTGCCTCTCTCTTCATTTGCTCTATTCGTTGTTTTGAGTTGCTATCGTAGTTTTACAACTTGACGTCTTAACTGTTAAGTCCTTTTATGAACTATAGCTAAACGGACCACTGATTAAATTTATCACTGCATAATCATTCAACCTCATCGACCATGCACTTTGTTCAGGTGCCATAATTGCTGTAAATTATGTTTTTGTAGTTTATAGTGTTACCATCCATTGTTTCTTACTACACCAAGACATCATGTCATCCAAGACAGAATAAGTACATTTCATATTAGTTGACCGACCCATTTTGTGATTCTAGAATAATCAGCATCAGAGGAACTGTTCGAGCCCATGCTGTGATGCAAGGGCAACACTCCTCTCCACCACTGTGGTAGAGGGCCACTTGCATTTAACAAAAGAGATGAAAAATAATGGTGGAAAGATTCGAGTTTGCCCAATTAGGGAGTGATGCAGTTCACGTAGAAGCTGCAGAAAATGGGAAGGAATTGTTTTTCCCTTTCTTCCTTCTATTCATGATTCAAATTTTGAAAACTAACCAAAATTTGAATTATGAATAGAATTTTAACCAACCTTCATAATTTATTATCATTCGAACGAAAATTTGGCATAAAACTACTAAAATACCCTTTTTAACTAAAATAATTGCAAAACTATGCAGTTTTTTCCCTTAGAAAAATACCTTCACTCGTAGGCATTTGACATTAGAAGCTCCAAACTGCTTCGATGGGGTTACTCTTACACTGCTCTGCAGCTTCTCTCACTCCAACGGCTTTAAAACCTGTAAGCACAAATAGGTCATCCTCCAGAAACCAAAATTTGAGCTTGAAATTTTCAAATGGGTACTCGCCATTGAGAAGAAGGAAGAAAATCATAGCTTTGCATCGAAACCGGATGAGGCCACCGGGCCTTTCCCTGAATATGTGCTACTTAGAGAGGTTGTTATTAAGGCGTGAAGGTATTTTTAGGGAAACTGAACAAAAAAGAAGATATAGTTTTGCAATAATTTTAGTTAAGAAAGGGCGTTGTAGTATTTTCATGTCAAATTTTGATTAGAATTATAATAAATTATAAAGATTGGTTAAAATTCTATTCATGATTCAAATTTTGGCTAGTTTTCCAAATTTCTTATTATTTAATTAATTTCCGTGCTCTTTGATTTTTTTTTCTCAACACTGAAGCGTCGAAATGGTCTTTCTCTCTCTACCCTTTGTCTTTCTCCCTCTAGCTCGGACGGACTCCGTCCACTTCTCTCGTTTTGTTCTCTCCGGTCTCTCTCTCTCTCCCTACCAATTTTTTAGCCCGTCAGAGTTTGTTAGAGGTGCCAATTATTCCCCACTATCTGTTTTGTAATAGAATACCAGTTAACAGAATCTCCCCCCTACCCGCCGCCGCCGCTACCTTAGAGCCGCCCTTATTTTCGTTTGAATCTGAATCCTCCTCTTCCGTTGCTCCGTCGCCCCAACCGTCACAACCTCTGACGTCTCACCCTCTCTCAATTATCATCAGGTACTACTCTCACTCATCTCCTCACTCTCTCCGTCCATTGATTTACACACACATATTGTTGGAAAATATTAGTATTTATGTTTATTTTAGTATTTGAGTTTTGCTTGTTACTTAGTATATGGGCCTAGCCCATCCGAATTAGGGTTTCTAGGTTTTTCTCTCTATAAATATAGCTTATAGTTTAGCATGAATAACATGTTAGTCACAATGTAACCTTTTAGGATTTTGTAGCCGTTCCGACATTCTCATTTGTTCAATAATATTCTTATTATTTTGTTAATCTTGTTTGTTCCGCACTTTGATATTCAACTTGGTATCAGAGTGGGTTCGATCCTTAGGGTTCAATCCGTTCTTGTTGGTATCAATTTGTCTGCCTTTGTCGTCGTTCATTTTAGATTTGTTAGTTGGTATTGATTCTTTGCAAGGAAAAGAAAAATGAAAGAGGGAAAAAAAAAGTTTTGCTTGCAGAGGAGAAGATTCCGCAACAAATAAAAAAAGGGGACGAAGGAGAAAATAAGGAAAAAAAAAAAACCACGGAAAGGAAGAAGAAGGAAGAAAAAAGGGAAAAGAAGGAAGGAAAAAAATATGGCTATTGAAGGAAAGCATTCGAAAAAGTCCTAGGAGGAAAAAAAAAAAGTAGAAAAGAAAAAACATTGGCTTTTTATTTGAAGGCCCACACAAGTTGTTGGCGTTGTTCGTTTGTTGGTACAATTGAGATATGGAAATCTCTTTCGTTTAGTGACGGGTTCTCTCCATACTCTCAACATTAGCCAATTTGAACTAGAATCAGTTTGCTAGTAAGAATCAAGAATCAGTTTGCCAGTCAAGTCAAGTCAAGTAAAGTTTACTGCCAGTCCACTTAACGGAGCCAGTTTGCATCTGCTTATTTGCAAACTCATGTCGTATACCGCTATGAGTTTGACGGGAGTGTTGGAAAATATTAGTATTTATGTTTATTTTAATATTTGGATTTTGCTTGTTAGTTAGTATATGGGCCTAGCCCATCTGAATTAGGGTTTCTAGGTTTTGCTCTCTATAAATATAGCTTACAGTTTAGCATGAATAACATGTTAGTCACAATGTAGCCTCTTAGGGTTTTGTAGCCATTCCAACATTCTCATTTTTTCAATAATATTCTTATTATTTTGTTAATCTTGTTTGTTCCGTACTCTGATATTCAACTATATATAGATTACGCAAATGATATTTAGATAATGAGCTCAGATTTTCAGAATTGTTTTGAATTGCGAAAGGCCCCGATTTTTTGGGTATGCAATTGCTGCTGAGCTTGTGCATTTTATGCCTCTGTGAGTTTCTGAGCTGATGCAGTTGTTCGTGTTGTATCTGGATGCAGGCGGAGGCGGCTACGGTTGGGAAGGTTAGGCACAAAAGATTGGTGAGGGAAATGAGAGGCTGTTGGTGGCACAATACATGCCTAATCATACTCTCTCCAAGCACCTCTTTCCCTGTATGTTTCTATCTCTGTTGATACCCATAAAAACTGAATTCTGCGTAACTTAGATGGTCTTTAATTTTGTCCTAGTTTTTGTTAGGATTCTGGATATGGGTTTTGTTTTCGGAGTAATTTGGATTAATTCGGATCAATTAGATGGGTTTTTGAGCAATGACGGATTAATTCGGTCTTTTCTGGTTTTTGTGTTTAGTGTATCTTTGGGATATCTGTGATGTAGTTTGTTGTTAGTACCAAAATAAAGTTTAGTGGATTTCAAGGGTAGTTTAAACAAAACAAATGTGGAGTTGTCATGATCATTCTTAATGGTGTTGTCAGTTGTCCGCAAATTTTCCCTGTACATATCATCTGTTTTCCTATAATCTGATTGGAGTTAATATAAACTTATTATTGTGGAAAATTAGTTTCTTTATGAATTTTGGACTCTATCATTGCATGCTTAGAACAGTAGGGATTGTCAAAGAAAGATTAGTCTTTGAAAATGAAATCTGCATCGGAAGACAATTAAAACCACTTTGGAAAAACCAAGTATGGGTGCTATCACTCTATTTCCCTATATCCCTGCCAAAGTGGGTTTGGGTTCAATCTTTGGAAGGGCATCCTTGAGTTAAAAGACTTGTTAACGAATGGATCAGTTGAACAACATAATCTTGGCATGTAACGAGTTTTCCCTCTGCATATCAATTAATCATTTGTCTTCCTTACAGATAAAGGGTTCGTTTGGGGAGGGTGATGGAAATGCTGCTACCGTCAACAAGAAATTGTTGAATCTACAAAAGGTGGCCCCTTTCATTTCAGTAAAAGACTTGATACAAAAGTTCTTGTAATGTTTCATAACTTCATTCTTTTTCCTCTCCAGTGTTTCATAACTGCAGATTTTGATGTTGCATCAAAGTTTTATCTCTCTCTTGTCCTTTATTGGTTCTGATAGATAATGATGTGCTAGGGTAGTGTGTTTGAAGGTTCCCTTAGGTTTGAATCCTTGGCTTTCTTACAAGTCCTGAAAACCAAATGAGACATATTTGAATCTTGCTAATTTCCTCTAGAAGCCTCATATCATTGCAACATATTGTATAATGTAGTTTTGCTTTAGTCATTCTTCTAGTTGTAACTTGTAATTAATGCAAATGCTTGGGGAAGTAAAGTGATCACCAATCGTGAGTCAGCATGTTCATCTGTGTCCAAGGACTCTCACTAGGCATTTAGCTATAAATACAATCCTTTTTCTGTAATGAATTATGTGTAACTTAGGCCCTCTCACGTATATATTTCTCATTTAATCCATTATTAGAAAATAGTTACCACGTAACAAAGTAGTAGTAGCACTAACACAACGCTCTCAGACCCTCTCATGTATATATTTCTCATTTAATCTAATATTAGAAAATAGTTACCAAAAAAGAGGAGAAGAAGGAACATGAAAGAAAGAGTTAGGGTTTCCAATCCAAACATTCTCCTTCCCAAAATGGATTAAGCCATCAAGATGGGTTTGAAATATTATTTTCTTGCTCCGTTTTTATAATTAAGATCCCTAACTCTATATATATAATTTATATTTAATTAGCATTTTGATTAAAAGATCCGATAATTAATTAGCATATCATTAATTATCCGATAATTACTTTTCAATTTGTCTAATCGCACTAAGAAATCAATTGACCCCATCTAATTGCTATGCGATTAATGTATGTTCGCTAAATTCCCTAGATTCATGGCATGCAATTTCCTTTCCTAATATGTTAATTATTAATTATAGTTCTATCTCTTAATTTCTTGCTTAATTTTATCTCTTAATTTTAATTTTATTAATTATTATTATTATTATTAGGAATTATAGTGATTTCGCTAATCTCTATGTTAATTTTATCTCCTTTTTAAAGAGATAAAATTAACATAGAGATTAGTGAAATCACTATAATTCTTAATAATAATAATAATAATTAATAAAATTAAGCAAGAAATTAGTCAACCGATGATTTCCTTGTTAATTAAGAGATAAAATTAAGCAAGAAATTAAGAGGTAGAACTATAATTAATAATTAACATATTAGGAAAGGAAATTGCATGCCATGAATCTAGGGAATTTAGCGAAAATACATTAATCGCATAGCAATTAGATGAGGTCAATTGATTTCTTAGTGCGATTAGACAAATTGAAAAGTAATTATCGGATAATTAATGATATGCTAATTAATTATCGGATCTTATAATCAAAATGCTAATTAAATATAAATTATATATATAGAGTTAGGGATCTTAATTATAAAAACGGAGCAAGAAAATAATATTTCAAACCCATCTTGATTGCTTAATCCATTTTGGGAAGGAGAATGTTTGGATTGGAAACCCTAACTCTTTCTTTCATGTTCCTTCTTCTCCTCTTTTTTGGTAACTATTTTCTAATATTAGATTAAATGAGAAATATATACATGAGAGGGTCTGAGGGCGTTGTGGTAGTGCTACTACTACTTTGTTACGTGGTAACTATTTTCTAATAATGGATTAAATGAGAAATATATACGTGAGAGGGCCTAAGTTACACACAATTCATTACAGAAAAATGATTGTATTTACAGCTAAATGCCTAGTGAGAGTCCTTGGACACAGATGAACATGCTGACTCACGATTGGTGATCACTTTACTTCCCCAAGCATTTGCATTAATTTACAAGTTACAACTAGAAGAATGACTAAAGCAAAACTACATTATACAATATGTTGCAATGATATGAGGCTTCTAGAGAAAATTAGCAAGATTCAAATATGTCTCATTTGGTTTTCAGGACTTGTAACAAAGCCAAGGATTCAAACCTAAGGGAACCTTCAAACACACTACCCTAGCACATCATTGTCTATCAGAACCAATAAAGGACAACAGAGAGATAAAACTTTGATGCAACATCGGATAATTGTTGATATGCTAATTAATGATCGGATCTTGTAATCAAAATGCTAATTAAATATAAATTATATATATAGATTTAGGGATCTTAATTATAAAAACGGAGCAAGAAAATAATATTTCAAACCCATCTTGATTGATTGATCCATTTTGGGAAGGAGAGTGTTTGGATTGGACACCCTAACTCTTTCTTTCCTGTTCCTTCTTCTCCTCTTTTTTTGGTAACTATTTTCTAATACAAGATTAAATGAGAAATATATACGTGAGGGGGTCTGAGGGCATTTTATCATAATTTTAACAAGAATGAAATAATCGGGTTGACCTAATTTCTTGTTAATTTTATTAAATATTATTATTAGGAATTATAGTGATTTCGCTAATCTCTATGTTAATTCCCTCTAGCATTATATTTGCTAATTTTCTGATTAGATGCACGCATGATCATAGAAACCCAATTAGGCCGCCATTCCTTTTTTCATCATCCTTTTTATATCCATTCATTAATTCTTGACATCGTGTACTTAATTCCTTCATTCATGTAGCTGCTCTTGACACCCGAGCAAAGCAAAAGAAGTTTGCCAAGATGTTTCAAGAAATATACTGCCAGATGTGTAACAAGAAATTTCACACCAAGAGTGGCTTCCTCATACACCAAACAATTCACAAGAAATACTACAAAGCGTGTCCGTTCTGTAAACTCCGGCTTCCCACCAAATTCGAGTTCACCGCTCACTCTTCCATGAAGGTTAAATTTGTTGTTAGTTTGCTTTTTTAAGTATTTTATATAATTGATATTTTTATAACTTTGACTGATCTGGGAAAGCTTGCCCTCAAGCCACCTCTTGCTTCTTGTGATTTTGATGACTCTGATGAGGCTGCTGCTGAAGCTACTGTTGGTCATGATGGTTAAGAAGGGGAACAAGTGGATGGCTATTTCTTGTGTTTCCTTCTGAAGAATGCATGGTATCTCACACTACTGGATTAGCTGCAATTCATCTTTGAACAAATAACTAGCTTTCTTTACACTCTTCTACATATTGGTGTGGTGGTCTCTTGGTTTTGAAGAACCCTATATAAAGTTGATCTAACTAGTTAATTTCCAGTTGAATTTCTCTAGACAAAGGTTTTTACGATGCCCTCCCATCTCCAGTTGAATTTCCAGTTAATTTCCAGTTGATCTAACTAGTTAATGTGTATGTCACTAGTTGGTCTCTTGGTCTCTTGGTTTGGGATATTCGTTTTATAAAAATTTTCATATGAATGTTGTGTTTGTATTTTTGAAACATAGTCAATTGAGTGATTTAGCCTTCATATTTTTCAAGAGGCGTGTGTTTGGGTTAAAACTTAGATTTTGGGCTCAAAAGGGAGTTGGCCCAAAAAGAGGAGAGAAGCGCGAAGTCTAGCCCAAACCCAGAAGACAGAAGAGGCCTTTCTCGATTAGGTGCAGACCATTGGCACCACTTGCTCACTTACCCAAAAACCAAGTGGTATAGACCAGCCAGCTAATCAGCCCAAAAGTACTTTACAGTGGCAGTACAAGTAAATAGCTGATGAGTCACTATCCTTCAAACCGCATTCAGGCAAGATTACTGTTACAGGAGGCCAAGCCAAAGTGTCTATAAAAGAAGAAAGAGAAATCAGAGTTGAGGACACTCAATCAAACAAACAAATACAAGCACAAACTCTGCTCAAAGCCAGATTTTCCTTAAAAACGAAGCTGTAGTCAGCCCAAGCCTTCATCCCTCTCGGGATAAACCCTTTGTAATAGCTTTGCTACCTTGTCAAGGACCTACTGTAGTATCGATTTCTTTCTGTAAACTCATCTCCTTACCCCTTTTCTAAAGCTCTCAACCCATTTGATAAACCACAAAGATAGGAAGTTGCAAGACGATCAGCCTTGCCCGACAAGGTTAAACCTTGCCCGACCCTCTTTGTTTTTGTCTTTTCATTCATTAGCCTAGGAATATGTTGTATACTTCAAGTTGTATTCAAGTTATTTCAAGTAAGATGACTATTAAAAGGCTTTCTCAGTGCTTGAATCCGATTTGAATATGTCTTCACAGTTCAAACCAGATCTGAGTTCGAAGCCCTCGGGCATATAAGATTTGATCACTTAAAAGTCCTTGGCCCTAAGGCACAAAAAAGAACCTTATGTGGACTTAACCCATCCACGACAAGCTTTGATAACAAAAAGTCCGAAGTTACTTGGGGCGCAAGTAATCGACCTATCCCTTAGTTTTATTTCTATTATATTATGATTACCATAGAACGTTTGAGTATAGATGGAGTTTTGATGGGAAGCCTCAAGGCTTATATCTAAGGCCCTACAAAGGCACCTATTTGGATTCATTCTGCTCTTCGGGCTCAGGTAATCAGAAGTATAGTGGTTATAAGACTCATACAATCAATGAAACGAACATTATATGTGCGAGTACTAAGTTAGTTACTGACTGGAAGCCTCAAGGCCCACACCTAAGGCCCCACACAAGCACATGTCATAACTAACATTGTCTCTCAGATATATATACAACTAAAACTCAACATCCGCTTTACATTTGCCATGCTGAAGATGGCAGTGGCACGCTTGAGCATTTAAAAGTTAATCTTGATTGTGAGCCTCAAGGCCTACACCTAAGGCCCCACGAAGGCACATTTCAACGTTAACTCTGTCTTTCTCTTTTAGCTTTGCCCGATAAGCCTTGCCCGACAAGCTTTGCCCGATAAGCCCATCAGTGAAGCAGAAGCTCGACAGAAAGCATCAACCGGTGCCAACCTCTCGGGGAGCTGTGTGCTCGTCGGCCAGGGAACATCCTCGACGGAAATTCCTACCACGAACATAGTTTTGGCACGCCCGGTGGGATACATTTGATTAAAAGAGATATGTCACAACAATAAGAAGATTTGCAAACTGCTTTGTTGCAAATGCTACAAAGACCGGAGAACGCTTCTGCAGGTTTCAAACGGGAAGCCAATCTGGTTATAAGTCCAACTATTCCTATATCTTTACATCTATCTGGGGAAAAAGATAATAGACTTGAAACCAACCAGCTAGAGGAAGTAGTGATGGATAAACCTACGGATTCCTTCTCAGAGGTCCTAATAAATATGATCAGTATGGCCTGGGCTGAGAAGGGAAAAAAAAGGTCACAAAGGAAGAAGAAAGAAGATTGGTTGACAAACCCATAAAAGGGGTGGTCAACTTGCCCGAATATCCAAGAGCTGTTATAATCAAAGGGATGGTGTTGTGCAGTAAGTGCCAATGCGAGTGTGAGCTCGAAATACCGCCTATAGGAGCCCTCATAGATCAGGAACTGATAAGAAGGAATGAAGAAGAAAAGAGAAGAGAGGCACATGAGAAAGCTCGGCGGACTGGAGGAAGGGATACCTCCCGAAGTGTCTTTCAGCGGTTAGAAGGCGATTCCCAACCAAGGGCTTTATCAGAGATATTTCGTAACCATGAAGTGTCTGAGGAGGAAGAAGATAAAGATGCCAAGAAGCCGAAAGAGAGGGGTGTAGAGCACTCTCAGTATGGCCATATGGGAAAAGAAGCCAAGAGAAATGATAGGATAACAAACCCTATCAAAAAAGATAATCCTGCCCGCCTCGGGCGAAAATGGTACGTGGTTGGGAAAAATGGACAGCCCGTTAAACAAATGAAAGCCTCCATGGTCAAAAGGGTTCAAAGGCAACACAAAGCCTACATGAATTCCTTAAAAACCCCTGCGACGTCGGAAGCATCCAAGAATCAAAAGTTGGAGAAAACGTCATCTGGGGGGAGTAGTCAGCTTCGCTGGAGGGGTAAGAAGGAGGTGGAAAAGGCTAACAACAAGGCTGAAGGCGAGGGAAACCATGTGCCACAAAGCCTACACCCTGGGAAATATAGGATCTTGAGGAGAGCTCAAGAAGATATGATCATGGACAGAGCAGCCTATTTGCTTTAGGATTGTTTCACTTGAAAGAAAACCACATTCTCCATCATTAGTGGATCATTTCGGGGAAGTTCCAAGGCAAACACCGTATTCAGGTGTGAATCAGCAAGAGGGGGCACCAGAACCACTGCTTCCAGCAGATGCGATGGCTTGGTTAGATGAGTTCATGGACCAGATTGGGAGCAAGAGAGAAGAATTGCCAGAGCCTAGCAACTTTCATATCAACATGGCGTACGTGCTATCCGTCATGTTTAGTGCCAGAACTGATCAGCCTGCCACGATGGAAGGAGACTATGTGACAACTGAGCCAATGATGGCTCATGTCAGCGTGGAGGTAGCTGAAGAGGGAGAATCGGGGAAAGCTGAATCATCTGAAGCACCCAAGGATGGTCCTTTAAGGATCTATACGGACAAGATGGTGTTCAGCCGCCCGAGCATTTCGCTTGCCAATCATCTGAAACCCATATACGTTACAGCCCATTTGGAAGGAGTGTCTTTCAAAAGAATTTTAATTGATGGAGGAGCGGTTGTTAATGTACTACCAGTCAAACAAATGAAAAAGTTGGGGAAAGGCACAAAGGATCTTATTCCTACAGACCTCACGGTTTCTAGCTTTTCAGGCACTATCACCAAGACTCATGGGATATTGCCTTTAGAAGTAGATTTGGGGTCTAAACAGATCATGTTGGCATTCTTTGTGGTGGACTGCACTTCCACCTATGGAGCCTTACTCGGAAGAGATTGGATCCACCAAAGTCTCGCCATACCCTCCACTCTACATTAACAAGTGGCTGTTTATCATGAAGCAGGCGCAGAAGGACCAGGCTTTTGGGAAAAGGTAGAGGCCGAGTCACGGCCCTTTCTTCCCACAGCCAATGTTGCTGAAGCAAGTTTCTACAATCCCAACGTAGGAATTTTGAAATGTTTAGGAGCAGATGGGAATGGCCGCCTTACCAAGGTGACGGCCCAAAAGCTTCTAGAACAAGGAATGCTCCTTACTAGAGAGGAGTGGGATAGACCTTGTATCGTCCCAACACCCCTACACCATCAATGATAGAACAAAAAATGAAGAATCAGGTAATAGCAGTCAGATCCCTGATTAAAAGACTGTTGGTGTATGGGAAATGAAAAAGACAAGAAAATGAGCTCTTAGACAGAGAAGAGCAGGAATGGCAGGTATGAGCTTTAACCAGCCAGGATGAAAGCATGGAGGAATCTTGTCGAGAAGAATTGGAAAGGGCCATTCAAATGGCCGAGTGCATATATGACCTAGATGGGCTAGACGACCTGCCCGAGAGCCCGGAGCTAGTCGAATTTTTGTGTGCAGAACCTGATAAGCCACCACCAGAGGTCCAAGATCATCTGGAAGTTATTGATCTAGGGACAGAGGAAGATCCAAGACCAATACAAATTAGTGGTTTATTGGAGATTGATGATCGGGCAAAAATTATCTATCTTTTGCAAGAATTCAAATATTGTTTTGCTTGGCATTATACTAAGATGCCAGGTTTAGATGCAACCTTGGTGGAACACAGAATGCCCATCAAGGATGGATATAAACCTGTTAAGCAAGCACCGCGAAAGATGTCAAAGGAGATAGAAGAGAAGGTCAAAGAAAAGATTGAGAGGCTTGTGAAAGTCAGATTTATCAGGCTAGCCAAATATGTGGAGTGGTTAGCCAACATTGTACCTGTTTAAAGGCTATAACAAAAACAGTACGATGTTGTGTTGATTACAGAAATATTAATAGCGCTACACCGAAGGATGAGTATCCCATGCCCATGGCAGATCTATCCATAGACGCAGTAGCAAAACACAAAATCTTATCTTTTATGGATGGAAATGCTGGGTATAATCAGATAAAGATGGCTCTGAAAGATATACATAAAACAGCTTTTAGGTGTCCTGGGCATGTAGGGGCATATGAATATCTAGTCATGCCATTCGGGCTCAAGAATGCTGGTGCGACCTACCAAAGGGCAATGAATGCCATTTTTCATGATTTGATTGGACACAATATGGAGGTGTATATTGATGACATCGTGGTGAAATCCAAGACAGAAGAGCAGCATCTGATAGACCTCAGGCAGACATTGACAAGAATGAGGGTCCACAAATTGAAGATGAATCCAAAAAAGTGCGCGTTTGGAGTGAGAGCGGGCAACTTCTTGGGATTCCTGGTTCATCAAAGAGGTGTAGAAGTGGACAAGAACAAATCGCGGGCAATAATGGAGTCGCCTTCACCCACCAACAAGGTGCAACTCCATAAGCTGCTAGGCAAAATTAATTTCTTGAGAAGATTTATTGCCAATTTAGCGAGCAAGATCCAGCCACTGACTTCTTTGCTAAAACTGAAGAATAAGGAGAATTTCGAGTGGGGACCACCACACCAAAAGGCTTCGACAGTATCAAAGTTTATTTGATTTCTCCGCCAGTGTTGGTGCCACCTCAGAGGGGAAAACCCTTGAAGCTATATATCTCTGCTTCAGATAAATCGATTGGGAGTTTGCTAGCTCAAAATAATGAAGGCGGGAAAGAGCAAGCAGTGTACTACCTCAGTAGAATTCTGGCCGAGGTAGAAACAAGATATTCCCCAGTAGAGAGATTGTGCTTAGCCCTGTATTTTATTGCCAATAAGCTGAGGCATTACATGTTACCTTGTCATGTGCACATCATCGCCAAGACGGACGTGATAAAGTACATGTTATCAAAGCCAATGCTAACAGGAAGAATTGGGAAGTGGATTCTAGCATTATCGGAATTCAGCTTTCAGTATGTACCCCAAAGGGCAGTCAAAGGTCAAGCAATTGTTGACTTCTTGACGGAGCATCAAGAGTCTCAAATGAGATAATCAATATCCCGGGAACCCTGGAAGTTACTAGTGTTTGGATCCCGCCAAGCAAAGGTGTCTCGGGCAGAGAGGAGTGGGTCCAGCAAGAGATAAAAAGAGTGGCTGGTCTATGGATTACTCATTGGAAGCTATATTTTGATGGTTCCCACACTCAGAAGGCTTC